TTCACGTCAAGTTTGGATTTTATAAATCACAACCTTGGCGTGAAAAGTAGTGTACGCAAGTTTCTGGGCTCAAATTGTGCGTACGCCAGTTTTATAAATCCGACCCCTGGACTGTGGAAAAACAAGTTTAGGGAAAACCAGAACTTTAACCCAAAAGTTTTAAAAGAACTTGTCTTTAGAACTTGAACTGTGTTTTTGTTTCAGGTCTTGGCGACATGGCAGTGTCCAACACAATCGGCAGTAACGTGTTTGACATTTTAGTCGGACTCGGAGTTCCCTGGGCCATGCAGACCATGTGTGTCAACTATGGATCAGAGGCAAGTTAACGCGCTCGCCTTTTAGGTGCATTTAATTTAAAAACTACTGAAATCCAGAAAAGTTTGAGTGACGAAGGAGGCTCGGGTGATGTGCTGGTGTCGTTTCAGGTGATGATCAACAGTCGGGGCTTGTTGTACTCCGTGGTACTTCTGCTGGGCTCTGTGGCACTGACGGTGAGCAAGCTCTAACGGGTGCTCCGTTTTAACGCCGAGGTCTGATCTACACCCAACTTTGTGTTTCCTTTCATTCAGTTCTCCATTTTTCTAAAACTGGTTGGTTTAAATTGAGGAAACCCATTAAAGAAAGGAATTCTCCCCCAACAAATAACCTTTTATCATATACGGCAGGGCTGTTCAACTAAATATCTCCAGGGGCCACAATTGCTGCAGGTCAACAGCTGAGGGGCCGAACACCCAGCAATTAAAGTCATTATGTAAATAAACCAAGTATTACAAAGATCTGTTACCTTAATAGTTTATTTTGCTGCATTTAATCATGATTACAACATACAGAACCCTTTAAAAGTAGTGATAAAACAAAAAGAGCACATTCTGCCTCCTGATTAACACAAATATTTTGACATCTCTGACTTGCCAAATTTTTAAACCAATTTTATTTTCACTTTCATCATTTTATCGTTAACTGCTTATAGTTTTAACTGTCTTGAGTTTTTATAGAAATGATTTTTACCAGCTTGTAGCCAAGATTCTGACGTTTCTAGATACCAAATATGTCTATGTTTAAGTAAAAGAACTTGGAGTAATTAAAGTAGAAAACTGGGGGTTTGGGCTTAAGAGATGAAAGAACAAATTGGTGGGCCGGACTTTGGTCACTTGCGGGTTGGATGTGGCCCGTGGGCCGCCAGTTGAATAGCCCTGATATACGGCACATTTAATTCATATTTAAAGCTTTTGCGTCCTCACTAGAAGCCGTAAATAAACGCTTCATTGATTGGAAATGGTGTCATGCACAGGAGCGGTCATTCTGATCCGTGTTGTGTTTTGTGTGTGTGTGTGTGTGTGTGTGTGTGTGTGTGTGTGTGTGTGTGTGTAGGTGCTGGGGATCCACCTGAACAAGTGGCAGCTGGATTTTAAGTTGGGCATGTACGTCCTCATCCTGTACGCCGTCTTCCTCTGCTTCTCCATCATGATCGAGTACAACGTCTTCACTTTCGTCAACCTGCCCATGTGCATGGAGGAGTAGAGCCTCGGAAACCTCAACGGCCCCGAAAACATCTGTTCTTTGAAGACTGGACCTATTTTCTTTCTTTTTCCTCTTTCTTTTATAAATGTTTCTTAAAAAAAGAATATAATTTTATTACCAGGCAGTTAGCGCTAACGTTGGACTGAACCGTGTCAGAGTGCCGGTCCTTTTCTTTATTCTCGTTAGTTTTTTTCAGGCGTTTGCCGCTACGTTGGTCTGTACGTCTAACTTTCTACCCATCCAGCATGCCTTTAGATGTCGGGGGGGTCTCCAGAATCTTTAAGTGCCCCTTTGACTGTAGTCGTTTCAAAGTTCACGTCTTAAATTCACTTCTAGAGCTTTTCCACGAGCCACATCAGTGAGACCGGGGGAGAAAAAACCATTCAGCAGCAAATCCTTATTGAAACCCCAAGAGAAACAGGAAGTTAAGAATTTTTAAAGAAACAAAAAAAGAAGCACTTTTTTCCTCTTTTAGCCCAAAAATATAAAGAGGTGGGATAAAAGCCCCCTTTGTTCACTGCAAAACATGTCCACCTAACCAAATTTTAAAACCTTATGTCAGCCAAAAAGTCTTTTTGATCTTGTTTTGAGACTGATTTACTAAACAAGAACTGATTAATAATCTTGTTTTCAGAATGTGTAAGATTATTTGTCTTGTTAGTCTGAAAATTTGACTCAAATTAAGTCAAAATTTCTGCAAATGGAGTAAGAAAATTTTACTTGGTAAGATTCATGAAATACTTGATTTGACTCAATTTTTTCTTATTTCAAGAATTTTACCAAGTAAAATTTTCTTACTCCATTTGCAAAGAATTTGACTTAATTTGAGTCAAATTTTCAGACTAACAAGACAAATAATCTTACACATTCTGAAAACAAGATTATTATTCTTACACAATCAGTTCTTGTTTAGTAAATCAGTCTCAAAACAAGATCAAAAAGACTTTTTGGCTGACATAAGGTTTTAAAACTTGGTTAGGTGGACAGTTTTTGCAGTGTTAGCTTGGACCTGACTCTGCTGGCATGGCCTTAGGCAACAGGGAGCAGATTCTTAGAGCTCTACAGAGGAAGAGGAGGATGAAGTAAAGCACTAACATCCTCCCACCAGATGAAATCTGCTTTTTTTCCTCTTTAAAAAAAACCTTTTGTCTGGACACTTTGAGATGCACCGCAGTCTGGATCAGCTGACTGCGGTGGTGTTATGCATCTGCACCAGTGCACAATGTAAATTTGTAAACACTTTTTTTGTATTTATTTTTTCAAAAAAAGGAAAAAAAAGTTTTGTCTAGTTTGAAAATATAGAGAACTCGTTGCGAATATGGGACGTTTGCTCGTCTTTTAAAGAGGAAACAAATCAAACTGATTGCACAGGAAAAAAAAACGCTTTCTTGCCGCGTGGCTGGAAGCCAAATTCAGTTTTCATTCTTTCTGTATTTTTTAAAAATTTAATTTAATTTTTTTTTCTTCTGCACAAATTGAGGGGAGGAAAAAAAATGGCTCCACGTCTGTTGGAGAAGAGCTGTTCTTGTGTTTAGATGGTTAGGGGAGGTGGTCGCTCAGCAAGTGCAATGAAAGCGGACAAGGTGGTCTCTCGCCAGCAGGGGTCACTGCAGCCCCTCTGCTGCTGCAGAGATGAGCTAATCAGGGAAACAGAGGGAAGAACTGTGGATGATGGACACTTATTTATTTTTGCATTGTATGTAGATATTGCACTTTAACAGCCGTCCTCATTCTGAATCGAATAGTGCTTCCTTCTGTGCGTTTGTACTTTCAGTGTGTGTGTGTGCACAAAGAACGTGTGTGTGCTCATGTTTCTGAAAACAGACTGGAACCTCAGTGAGCACACCTGTCTCTGCCTGCAGTGCATGCTGGGACATTAAAACAGAGCTCATCCACTGCAAAAACTGTCCACCTAACCAAGTTTTAAAATCTTATATCAGCCAAAAAGTCTTTTTCATCTTGTTTTGAGACTGATTTACTAAACAAGAACTGATTGTGTAAGAATAATCATCTTGTTTTCAGAATGTGTAAGATTATTTGTCTTGTTAGTCTGAAAATTTGACTCAAATTCAGTCAAACATTTCTGCCAGTGGAGTAAGAAAATTTTACTTAGTAAGATTCTTGAAATAAGAAAAAATTGAGTCAAATCAAGTATTTCAAGAATCTTACCAAGTAAAATTTTCTTACTCCACTAGCAGAAATTTTGACTTAATTTGAGTCAAATTTTCAGACTAACAAGACAAATAATCTTACACATTCTGAAAACAAGATGATTATTCTTACACAATCAGTTCTTGTTTAGTAAATCAGTCTGAAAACAAGATCAAAAAGATTTTTTGGCTGATATAAGGTTTTAAAACTTGGTGAGATGGACGGTTTTTGCAGTGAGAGCTACTGGGTGGATTCCATGGATAGGCCCTACTGCCTGGTCCACTTTAGAGAGGGGGGGGCGGGTAAATAAATAAATAAATAAATAAATAAATAAATAAATAAATAAATAAATAAATCAGCAGTTAAGAGCACTTCAGACATTTTGACATCATGCAAAAACGCCCGTGTGGAGTCAGAGACTCATGATAAAGCTTGTGAGTGTGCAGAGTGTTTAGGTGTTGAACTATCCCCCCCCACCCCCTCATCATGGTGTTGGGGGGGTTTCCACTTGTATATGCAATCTAACTGTAAATAATCTGTGACAAAAGGCCCCTGCAAGGTTTGCCATATAAAGATGGGTAGGTGGAGCAGATCCTGTGAAGATGTGATGTCACTTTGTCCAGTCACACTGCAAAAACTGTCCATCTTACCAAGTTTAAAAATCTTATATCAGCCAAAAAGTCTTTTTGATCTTGTTTTCAGACTGATTTACTAAACAAGAACTGATTGTGTAAGATGATTATTCTTACACAATCAGTTCTTGTTTAGTAAATCAGTCTCAAAACAAGATCAAAAAGACTTTTTGGCTGATATAAGATTTTAAAACTTGGTTAGGTGGACAGTTTTTGCAGTTCATGGGGACCAAAGCCCGGTCCCCATAGG